CGGCAAGAAATGTTAGTCGAAGCCGAAGCGAAGCCGAAGCGAAGCCAGTTGAAGACAGCACAGCCAGAAGGATACTCCCACCAGCCGCAAAACACACACCCACACACACACCCACACACACACATACACACACACACACCAAAAAAAGAATCTCGGGCAGCAGCAGCGGGCATCTATCGCACAACTTTGCATTGTCGTGGCTTTTGTTTCAAAGTGCCATGGCGTATACGCAATTTGTTTGCACACACACACTTATGTGAGCTATCAGGCTGTGTGCCTATTGTAATTTGGCGCTATTATTAAAAATCCTTTATGATGCCAGCGACAGCGACAGCAACCGCAGCTCAGCTTTCAGCAAACGCATTTTCTCAGCTCTAATTGCACCATTAAAGAATGACAAACGAAAGACCGTACAACTACCGTACTCCGCAGACCCCAACTTCGCCGTACCACTAGCACAGCTCGCAGCAATGCCAAAAACAATGGCGTTAAGAATAAGGCATTTAATATGGTTTTTATGCGTTGTCATTTTTACATACCCTATAAATAACCGGAAACAGCAATACACCATCTTCCATTGCATTGCTCAATAATAAAGAACTTACTTGCATACATATATATAGCTCAATTTTCAATTTATTCCCATCAAAACTTTTCCAGCTGAGAGTATGCTCGATGTTGAGAAAATCCTTCTTAAAGATCTTCAGAGGGTATTAAGTGATCGGCCATTGCCTTGCCGCTCGTCTCTTCTGTTTTGCTTTTCAGATTTCTGTCTGCTTCTTTTTGGTGCACGGATGTCATAAATGGCATGCTCCACAAGATGGGACTCAAGTATGTGAGCGCCACCACTGTATGTGTGTGCGTGTGTATGTGTGTGTGTGAGGGTAGGTGTACCAAAGCCACTATAAATGTTATTTATTTTCGTACATTTGTGCAGCGAGTATCACCATCTGCAGGTGTCTTTTATTTTTTAATATGCTAAAGCGCAAAGCGAAAAGCCCCAAATACAAATTTGCATTTTATTGCCTCCAGCTCAAGCGTGAGCCAAGTAAAGCTCTACAATATAAAGTAAAAACTAGCAAAAATAGAAAAGTAGAAAGGGCTTAATTCCGCAGTGAAGACTGGAAAAGGCATTGCAATGGAGCAGGACAACAAAACTTTAATTAAGCCTGATTGCTATCCCTTTTACAACCCAATTAATTAAAGAAAATTCTGTTCATTCTTTGGCTACATTTAAAAATATAAAAAAACTTAAGATAGTTTTCGAAAAACGTGTAAATTGCCAGATGGGTCCGTGGTATATGGACAACCCTTGCCTTTAAAAAAGAACTCATATATGTATTCATTGTATATATCTTATTGGCCGACTAGACTTAGATAAGTTTCTGTAGAGGAGGAAGCAGATAGTGTTTATAAAGACTTTTATGAGTAGTATTAAATGTATAAAAGAGTGTAAAGAATATTTCTATTGTTCAGGATTGTCTTCTATTCCGATCCTTTCTTACTGCTATTGCATTTCTAGGAGAGTAACCCATTCAACACTGGGCTCTCACTAATGTAGGCTTCGTTTACTATTTTCAGCCCAGATAATCATCAGGAAACTGAAATATCTCACCAAATTGGATCCTTTCCTTTCCCCAACTCAGTTGTCAATTTGAAACGAATAAGACAGATATTTATGGGAATATCCCTGATAAATAATCGAATCAAGTCAAAGAGCAACATAACCGTTTTTCGGTTAACCGATTTAATGGACATTTGCGATGTATCTGAGCCGGGGTAAGTGCGAGGTTGGATCGAGGAGCTCTTTGGCCTCGTCGCTCGTTTAATTGGCTTAAGAGCACAAAATCGTTCGCTTTTCAGCTGCTTTGGCCTTATTGAAAAATTTAACTTGCAATAAAATTTAATGACTTTGCGCTTTTTAATAAAATGCGCCCGACCTCCATCTGTCCGCTCGCTCATCCTGCGCCCGCCCCCACCCTCAACTGAGCTCACAATTTAAGCGCGAATTTGTGTTCATAATCACAATTTCGTACCTTTTCTTCTCTCATTCCTGTGCGCTTTGTAATGACTACACAAAATATCACTCAGCCCCGCCCAGCTGGACTGTGCGTGCAATAAAAAGTAACGAGGCTGTTAGCATTAAAGCAAACGTTCGTCCGCTGCGGCGGTCAAGAAGTCAGCAGTGGAGTGGCTGAAACAAAAACAAAAAATAAGAAAACCCACAGACTCATTGCCGTTAAGTCGGCGGTAATATTTAAATTTATATTGCGGTTACTGTCCCGCTCGCACTTTCACTGCGTCACTGTCCAGCTGTCCCGCTAGCCCTTGGCCTAGCCCCGCACCTTGCTCGGCCATCAATTCTTCGTTTAATGCCTGCGCAAATATTTGCGCAATCAGCAAACAAAACAAGCACCGTCGCCCGCCGGAGTGCCCGCTGTTTGAGTAAAGCAATTGACCGTTGCTCCGGACACGGCAATTTACGTGCTGAAGGCAACGGCAATAGCAGCAGCAACAACCGCAACAACAACACCAACAATATAATAATAACAACTACCACAACAGCACCGCAAACTCGGCTTCCGTTTCTGCTTGTCCTTGAACCGCCAAAGCGCGACGCGTGATGCGCGCCACACGTCGCGTTGACCGCGGTATTTGTGCAGCATACATAAACATGCGCAGGTGTTTTTGGCCCCGCCCACGCCGCCGGGCCATCTGCCCGCCCAAAACTCCCCGAGAGACAAAAACTATTGGTATTTGCTTTATATGTATATATTCCTTTTGCAGGCCAGTCAGCCGACGAGCTTACTTTTGGCTCACGGCGCGTGCCGTAAATAACCTTGTTAATCATTTAATTTCAGCACGCACACATGATAGCCCCAGTTTCCCCTCCCCCTGCCAGCTCTCCGCCTGCTGCTGCTCTGCTGCTGCAGCCCTGGCAAACAAATTCAAATAAATGGCGCTGCTGGCTCGGCTGGTGGGCCAAAAGCCTTTCGGCACTCTTAATTTATTGTGATTTGCTTTCGGCGGATTGCTGCTGGCCAGCGACAATCAAGGGCTTTCTAGGCCATCCATTTTGCGCGAAAATTTGAGCGGGAGCAGGAGATACAAGGCTTAAATATCATGCAATGTGACAGCCAACATGCTTCACTCTCTTCTCCCTCACTGAATTCTATTTATTTCAGTCCCTTCAATATTAAAATTGATTGTGCGAGTAGAATGAAATAAAATAAGAATGTTGGGTAATTTTATCATATTCCACATAGATGTTAGTATATGGACTATCATATGTTAATAGTTGGGGGGAAAATAGTTGCGATAATAAACCCCAATTTACTACTTAATGATTGAAAATGAGCAAGTGATTAAAATAAGAGGAATAAAAAACACGACAATAGTTGGGGGATAATAGTTTGAAATTATTATGTGTAAATTCTGGAAGCACACATTCAGATTCTTAGACACGTAGAAAGAACTAAACTTGCTTGTCAAACCCAAAGTCATAAAATCGGCCAAGTATATACATAGTAAAGTATTGTGCATTTACAGATTCAACATTTTCAACTCAGCCTTGGCTGAATACTATCAGCCGCCCCCTCTTCCTATGACATGGCCTTAATAGGCGTAATATTTACGTACGCTATGTCAACTACTATTTGCAAAGGATTTGAATTCAATTCAATAATTATTTGTTGCAGTGATGCGTCGCAAGCTCTTCCTCTTATATTAATTGGATCGGAATTAAAATTGTTGACTTAAATCGACTCATTTTCTCAGCATTCGTTAACGAATATCCTGAATTCAGCGAAAATGAGAGCGGGCTGCTCCCGTCAGTTAAAGGCAGAAAGAGGCGTGGCAACCACCATTAAGTAAATATATATTTCATATTTCTGTCTGCCTGTAAAGCTGGGTCATAACAGATGGGCAAAGAGGAGCGGTGACTTCTTTTCGAGAGAAAGAGCTGTTGGTAATATGTTCCCAAAATGCCGACTAATCTGAAGAGAAGAATTCAGGATATCTGCTAGTCAGTCACTGCATACCAATCTTCGATATTCAGTCCAGTCTTCAATAGCGTTAAGAGTATTTTTAAATAACGCATTCGAATGTCTTTATTCATTAAGTTCAACTAAATTAAGAAAATATGCTCTCTACCGCTCATCGTCGCTTTTTAATTGTTTAATCGCAGTCTGCAGAGGGTATTTCAAAGTCACTCAGAGACCACTTCAGCACTTAAGCCACAGTCTAAGTTGACATTTCGTTAATTACGGTTTCTTCTCGCTGCACAGCCGCACTGGCTGTGGGCCATGGGGCGTATGCGCACTATTTGGGGGGTCGTTGCAGAAAGCGTTGCATACTTTTGTGCGCGCATTTAAATATGTATTGCTCTCGCATACACACACAGGGAGAGTATTGCAGTTGCTGCCCGTTGCACGTTATGCAAATGCAAGTATTTACTATTTATTTACAACTTACATAAGTACGTGCTGGCCGCCCCTTAGCCGTCTCCCCTCTCTCTTGCTCTCTCTCTGGAGTTCGGGCCTGGCGCATTTTATGCGCTAAAAGTCGCACACACAAAAATGCAAAAGTATAAACATTCTTGCGCTGGCAGCTGTAAAAGTTTTCGGTAAACGCATTTCAAACACTCGCTGAGATAGTTATTACAATTGTACACAAAAGTAGCAGCAGGAACAACAACAGCAACAATGCTCAGGCGTGGCATGGCGTGAAGGGGTGTTGCGGGGCGAGGCAAGTTGGAAAAACTTGCAGCATTTTCTTCAAATGAAATGCAAAGCGCACAACGCACAACGTAGCAGCCATCGAATGGCAGCGCAGCGCAGGGCAGTGGAGCGGGGGCATAATATTTACAAAGCAGTTGTCTTCTTCTTCTTGCTCCTCGTCTTGCTCCTCTTCCTCTACGTCTTGCTGGCGTGTTTCAAATAGAAGGCATTTGTGAGTGCAGTTAGCTTTGATCGGCATATGGGCGTGACGCTGCCAGGCGGATGTCGACGAGCAAGCCGGAAGCACCGAGGACGTCGACTGCTGAGCCAAACATCCGCTGGACAATTGATGAAAGCGTTGTATGCAAAGCAAAGCAGAGCAGATCTGAACAGCGCAGTAGAGTGTAGTACAGTGTAGTGGAGTGCAAGGCAGAGCAGAGTGGGGCATGCCATAAGTTTCGGGGCAAGTAGCTGAGCAAGAAGCATTTGCCGTGTGGAAAACTTTTGTGCAGCTGCTGACGAGGATGCGGCGAGGATGAACCTCGGTTCCGCTATCTAGCGAATACACACACACATATATATATGTATACAGTTGTATGTATTAGTGTATACATCCCATCCAATTTTTTCGTGTTGCTGACGTAAGAGGTCCTGCGCATCGTCCTGTGATGTTTTTCGTTTCGTTTCGCGCCAGCAGCAAAGTGCACAGCGCCAAAGTTTTGTTTACAAAGTTTTCAAATTTTTGTGGCACCCAGTTGAACTTCCTGCTGCCCCTGCCTGCTGCGCTAAGCGGCGTTCACTTCCGGCTGTTGATGATGTTGCACTCCTCCCAGCCGTCTGCTGCCATTGATAATCTAACAATATTCGCGGCTGCTCGCAATGGAGTGCACCTTTCTAAATGGCTCTGTCGGGGCAGCTCAGCGACACCAATAATCCATCATTAGCGTTGCGTGCCGCAATTATGTGTGCTGGCTCTATTAGATTTGCCCGCCTGCTAAATGATGTAGAAAATTCAGCACTCGAGCTGCCTCAACTTGCGACTGTGGCACTTGCTTGTGCACCTCCTGCTGCTCCTGCTGCTTGTCATTGCGTGTAAAATTATGTCAACGCTTGTCAACTTTTATGTGCAGCAAGAAGTTTAGCCAAGTGCCACGCCCACCTTCGAGCCCATGCGCTAAGTGCCTTTGAGTGTACATTGAGTGAATGAATGAAAGTTTCTTTAGCGTTTGTGTGTTCTGTGTGCTTGTGTGCGTGTGTTTGTTGCCGCTATTTGTTATTGACTGAGCATGAGGCGTGCCGCTGCAATGGCTCTGGCAGTTGCGCCAAGTGCGTGCAAACTTTTTAAATTTAAATGCGGAATTTACGGATACACGGAACGTACACCACGGCGGCGTTCTGAAGCTGCAACTTTAAGACAGCAACTCTTGCGCTGCCCTTCAAGTTCAGCCACGCCCCCGCAGTCGGGCGCGCATTAGCGTGCCACAGCGCGCTTTCTTATTAAAACTTATGCTCACTTTTTTCCAAATTGTCCCGACTAATTAGCTTTCTTAGCAGTCGGTTCTGCCCCAATTTCCCCACGATTTTTTCTACGATTTTCTGTTCTTTTTTGCTTTTTCTGTGCTCGCCTAATTTGCAGAGCTGCCAACTCTTTCCCGCTTGCCCCTAGCCTGAATTAAGCAAGTTTTATTCGCCACTTTATGCTGCCACAAAGCGACTAAGCAGCAGCCGCGCCGTTGCATGAAATTTGGCTTGGACTCGCCTTGGAATTATCATATCTTATATACACTTGTATCTGAATAGTTAGGTACTACACAAATAGTAACTGTATATCTCTATACGCATATATATCGTTTGTTCTCTATGTCTCTGTAACGGAATGCAACTAAGTAGAGCTAAAAGAACTATATGCACCATTTTTATATTTTCTATTATTTTTATATAATGTACTAAATGTAATAAGTTTAACTTTAATTTCTCTTTACTGCTCATCTAAACGTTTCTGGTATATATACTTCATTTTCCAATTCTCTTTTTTTATTGTTAATTGCTTAAATACATATTTGTTAAGTGTTTTAAAAATATTGTTTTATTTTATTTTAATACATATTATTTAAAATGTATGCTTACAAATTACTTTTTTTATGTTCATATACAAATTATATTATTATTATT